CCAAGAGTTTCCTTGTCTTCTGTATTGAGTTCAAAATTACAAGGCATAACGAGTTGAACATTAATAGTCGTAAACCCCAAAATTGGATCGGCTGTTCAACGACGGATATAAAATATTGTACAGTAGAGCCGTGATGGCTCAGAGGATAGAGAGTTCACTTTCCAATGAGGTGAACCGGGTTCGAATCCCGGCGATGGCTGTTCGATACGAATCCGCATCCAGCTTGTACCGACCACAGTGCTGACGTAAAGTATCCTCAGTGGTACACGGATAATGGGTTAGAGTCCTCTTGCTGTTAGGCTAACCATGGGAGGTTTTCGTGGTCTTCCACTGCATGTAACGCAAATACGGGATAGATCCATCAAAAAGTCCTCCACAAAGGCAAATTTCTCCCTATACTTGATCCAGGAGTTCCCTTGTCTTTTGTATTGGGTTCAAAAATGACAAGGCGACGTAGTTGAACATTAGCAGTCGTAAAAACAAAAGTTGGGTCGGCTTTTCAACGACGGTTATATAAAATAAAAATAATACAAAATATTGTATAGCAGTTCGAATTGGAAACTGTTTTTATCTCTCTTGAAACTTTCATATTTTTGAAAAATTTCGATCGAAATGTTATGATTTGTATCTGGCAATATTGAACCCCTTTCTCTTATTTTTGTTAGTTTATTTACTCGTTTTTTGTGACTTTTAAAGAGCTCATTAAAAAAAAAGATCAAGAAAGAGAGAGAGAAGTAATTTTTTCTTAATCAATAATGCCCAAAAAAATAACAATAATAATATGAAACTTACAGTTGCAACACCTTTCGAACAAACTAAACTTTTGAAATTAAAAAAAAAAACTTCCTTTAAATTTATAATTCAAAATGGCAATTTCAGCACGAGAAATTTCAACTGTGTAGTTACATTTCAATTTGCAGTAGATTGGCCAAAGTGATTCTTTTACTACAAGTTTAACAGTTAGTAATTCTCAAATTCGATAGTTCGAATTTTTTATTCCATTGAACTCCTTATACATTTTTCAATACATCCTCGTAATATAAGCTAAGTCCTGTAGATTTTGTACATCAAAAACAAAATACAAAAAAGTAAGAAAAATTCTCAAAGAAACTATTCGATATTCTAAAATAGCAATATCGAACAAATTAGAATTTCAAACTCTTGTTAAGTTCACTAAAGTTGCACTTTCAGTATGTCAAATTGTCTGCGGTTGCTTTTATGCGGTTTGGAGAGCAGTTCGCGTGGTATTCCCCCTCCCCTCAAAGTTAATATTTAATAATTCTCGAACAGTTTGCCGAATCTTTAATTATTTTATTTCATTTGTAGACACTGGCCATTTTTCTACACACCTTAGTCATTTCGAGTTTCGTAAAATTTATAGTTTTTGCGCAGCAAAACAAAATTAATTTGAACACTCAGTGGTGGCAATTTTTTAACATAAAAAAATTAATTTAAAATATTTCTATTTTTTCTGATTAAATATTTTGTATAATCACTTCTATTGTTACAATCATAATACTTTGTTGCTTTTTTAAGCAAAGATATTAAACTATATCAATGTGAACTATTTATTGTGAGGGAGCATTATATATCGTAGAATAATTTTCTTTTCATCGACCCGTTTCGAGATATGCTTGTCGGCGAAATGGCTTGTTGGATGAAATGACCTAGTCGATTACATAGATCTATCAGCAAAGTGGTTTCAATATATCGCTGATTCAATAATTTAATATTTTTTTTACGTTGTTTTTTTTCTCCTTTCATTCACTTGCTATTATCCAAAACAATTTTCTGAATAACATGCTCGAGTGAAATAAATCGAAAGCTCTTTATTTTTCGAATGGAATCCTCTAATATCGAAAGTGTGATTCTGAAATTCAAATAATAATCCTTTAATTCAACAATAATTCATTAATAATCGAATAATAATCCTTTCGTAATCTAATAATAATCCTTAAAAGGTAATCGATTGATATTTTTCTTCTGAACTTTCTTGAGATCTTTTCAACCAATAATCCACCGTTATGAAATCCAACATGAGTGTTTTTTTGTTGTTGTTTTTTTTCTTCTAAATACTACAATGTGATTTTGTGTTCGCATTGTTAACAAATTGCAGATGATCATTATGATTGACGATTGTAAAGAAGGTACCAACGAATCGAAGCATTGATAAGAGGTACTGAACTGCTTTTTTTTATTATTTTTTTACAGAGTTTAACTCGTTATAGTGTTTAATTTGTTAACAGAGTTAAACTTTGATTAGGGGCGAAGGGGGCTAGTGTGGACATGGAGTTAATGAGAACATCTTGAATAACTTTTTGATTTATTGGTCAAATTTCGTTTGTGAGAATTGACAACACTGGTGTACAGTGGGCAAAAAAAAAAAAAAAAAAAAAAAAAAAAAAAAAAAAAAACGGACCTCCCTGAATAACTTTTGACCTAATAATGGGATCTTCACGTTTTATAACTCAATCGTAATGATTCAAATATGCTAATTAATTAGTGCAGACAATATTTATGAAATTACACACATAAAACGCACTTTCTCTGAATAAACATATCTTGCTTCGAGGGATTCGGATTTTGAAATTCCAAGGTAGGGGGAATAGCCGCAATCTGGGAAATATGGTCCATAGTTTGATCAGGAGAGCGAGCTATATCTCGAGAACTGTTCGAGGGAATTGAAATATTTTTCCATACATTATATTGTGTAATATATTTTTCTATAATAATTCTTTCCCATAGTTTGGTCAGGTGAGCGATCCAAAGTTTGAACGAACCCATAACCCTTTGGACTAACGTTAATTTTACTTTTCGTGTATTTCTCCATGTCTCGAGAACTTTTTGAGAGAATTGAAATATTTTTGCACACAATTATAAAATTCGTTTATCCGAAGATAATTCCGTGCAAAAAATTTATGTTAGTTTCATATATGTCATTTTTATTTTTTTTATTTAATAATAGTAGGGGGGAAATTTGGTTTTTAAGGTATGCAAATTTTTACATCATTTTAAAGTATGTATACAAAATTTGAAGAAATCGGCTGAATAGTTTCTGAAAAATCAAATTTTAAATACGGCCAAACCATGGGAACCATATTTTCCAGATTGCGGATTCCAATATTTTGGGGATCAGAAATCTAAATACGCCGAAAATAAAATATGTTTATTCAGAGAAAGTCAGTTTTGTATCTAATTTCGTAACTTAAAATATCGTCTGCACTAATTAATTAGTATATTTAAGGTCATTCCCTTGAACCATTAAGATTGAGAACTGAAACATGAAGATTCGATCATTAAATGAAAAGTTATTCAGGGTTGTCCAATTTTTTTTTTTTGGTGCACTGTACACTTTTATAAGCAGTTGCATACTAACACTTTGAATAAATTAGAAATTTGTAAAAGAAGGTTTTAAAGGTGCAAAAATAATTTTCAAATTTTCTCTTTTATTAAAAATTTTTTTCAGAATTTCAACTAAAAGTTATATTTTATAAATGATACGGTTTTTTACTTATTTTAATGTTAACTTTTGCTTTGCATAGTTTTAATTCATTAGGCATAAATAGGCATGATGTTATTAGTATATACATTTGGCGAAGGGAATGCTTCAAGTGGATTTTTTCATTTATAAGTTAGTTCATCTATTACCACTTCATTTATCGCAGTGGTAACACCCATAGCAGTGGTAAGTTCAAAACTCTGCATATATATATATATATATATATATAAGTGTTCCACACAGTATTTTAATATTTCCTGTGATTTAAAAAAAAAAAAAGAAACGAAATTTTAATTATAAAAAAATTTTTAGTATTTTTCATGTACCACTAATATTAAATACGTTATAACACATCACAAATTTTTTAAATAATAATTTCAGTTCATTATTATAATCTCTTTCAGAAAGGGCGCATGAACCTAAGGTAAAATTAGCATACACAGTCTCTGAAAAATGGATAACAATGTTTGATAGTAATTTTAATTCAGATGATTGCACAAAACATTGTTACATTGTTTTATCGTATTAACATTGTTACATAGTATTGTCTTTTATATTGTTTTTCAAATTGATGGTATTCTCTTAAAAATAATCATTGAAATTATTATTCTATTTAATTAGTATACGTGGCACAAAATATTAGAATACTGTTGAATTTACCAGTACAATGCATTAATCGTAATTATAATTAATATTTTATTATAATTAATAACATATTCCTAATTGTAATGCAGACGATTTAAAGTGAGAAGGCACATTATTTGCTTTGCAAGGTGATTTGTATTAAAATATTAGTAAATAGGAATGTAGATGTTTTCGATTTTATGCGATTTAAGTATTTTTAATAACACTTGACTCTTTTTTTGTGATTTTCGCTAAAATATTACATTAAAAAATGCCTAGTTTAATTTTTTAATCCAAACCGATTTTTATTAAAATGTTTATTTATAGAGGAAGAAGTTATAACACGTTTTTCATAAGTTTGACTCATATGTAGGCATTTTTTTTATAGGAAATAAAAACAAGTTTGAATTCTTTTTAAAGTATAAAAGCATGCAAAATTAATTTAAGTGCTTATTGTGAATCTTTTTTTAAAAAAACTTTAATATTAATATTTTATTTGAAATTGCTAATTTGTGATAAATATAAAAGATATTAGCTAAACTTTGAATCTAATGTCAAATGTGTTGATATAATGTTGAGTGCCATGAAATTCCCATTTCACAAAATATTTTAAAAGTTTTCGACATTATAAAATTGCACTGAATTTTAATTTTAAATAAAAAATATATACCTTTATTATCTCTTATATAGCGTAAAAAAATAGCTGTGTTAAAATCTCCATGAATGGAGAAAAATTAGGTTTCGTTTAGATACGCTTACTATTTTGGCCAATTAAATTATAATGTTTCTTTAAAAAAAAAATTCGAGATGTTTAATTTGAATATGTATTTATATTACTGACTATATAAAATAATATATACAGAACCAACTTAATTACCATTTTATCCGAAGAAAAAATTTCTCAAGTATGGTATATCCAAAAACAGCAGTAAAGTAATCCAATACTGACGATATTTTAATTTCAAGAAACAAAGAGTTTTTACAGTTTGAAATGCGCGCGTTTTCAAAGTCCTTCCTTCATCGTATTCCAACTCATGAATGTTTACTTTTTCCGTCTCCCGCGAAAAGGTAAAAAAGTGTCAAGCTTGGAACTGAAACATTGAGCATGCGCGTATAAAAGATTGTGGAATAATGAGGAACAACTCAACTCGACGCTTTATTCGGACGTCTTTTGGCAAAAATGAAAGAAAAGAAGAAAAAGAAGGGGAAAAAAAACCACAGAAAAATACACACCAAAAGCCCTAAATGTTCATTTACATTATCGCCTATCGTTATCTGGATGGTTACAGTCGCTGGTGCGGAGGGCGCTACAGTCCGATATCGACTTTTTATCGTTTGGAAGGTTCGTAATCCCAAAGCAGGGTGGAAATCAACGAAGAAAGTAGTGAACTTTTATTTTTTTCAGTTCTTTTCGTACTTTTTAGTTCATTCTCTTCTTCCCAATGCATGTTGGTGAGCGATAAGGGCTCTTATCTGAAGCCGAGATAGAATGGTTATTGTTATCAGCCAATAGGAAAGCGGCTTTTGTAAACAGCCCGGTTTCTGTTGGCTGTTTGATATGATAAGCAAACTGTAAATGGGAAAGGGGGGCGCTAGTGAAACTTATCTCTCTTTCGCAGGAGCAGCGCACTTTCTATCTTCTATTCTGTTCCCTCCTCCACCCCTATAACCCTCTCCACATCCCTTGTCCTCCTCCCCCCATCCCTCCACTCCACTTCTGCTGATCTAACTTTTCGACTTGGAATTCGGGAGACAAAGAACCCCATGTTTTGTCACCGGTTGTCTCTTGGGGAGTTGCAAATGCAGAAGTCGACAATTTAAAGAGAGGAAAAAAAAGTATATCCCGACCTTTTAAATGCATTGTTTTAGAGTAAGATGAACTGGAATGATAATGAAGTAAAATAAAAGAGATTTTTAACCAAAATATGTTACTAGTGATAAGATTTATTTTAACTAAATTTTTTCTCTCTTGTATTTTTGAAGAAAATTATGCTTGCGAGTTCACAGACCTAGATTAGGTTAGTTCTAACCAGTTTAGGACTCCCCGAATTCCCTTACAGCCTTAATGCTTACAGTTTTTTTAAAATTATCTTTACATCTTTGCAAACATTAATAAATTTCTAAGCATTGCATAAAAATCACTCATTGGATGTGGTCAATACAGTCCCTGGTCCAAATTAATAGACGCACTATGAGAGTCTATGTAAAATCTTAATTTTCAGGTGATACAATACGGCTTTATTGTTGATTACACGGCTGAAACCGGTTTGCACTTGTTTACATTCGTGTAAACTGAATGTAGGGACTGAAAATTCATTAAAATGGAAATTAAGAGAGCGATGATTGTTTGCACTTTGGATCATATTCACTTATGGAGGAAGAAAAAAAATTTATAACAATTTACATTCATAAAAAGACGTATAAATATTACGTAGGCAGCTAAAGGGGGTTGTGATTTACTTATTTTCGCTGAAAAGGGGGAGGAGGGGTGTGAGCAATGCTGACGTTAAAGATCATAAAATTCTCCTACTTTCAATTTTCTTAATTGCAAAGAAATAATAATAATTTAGGAAATTACTACTTTTTTTAATAATTATTTTTAAAAAATTTTTTCAAGGAATTTCAAAAGTTTGTAGAATAAATTAAATCCCGAATTTTGTCTTACGCTAAGTTACATATTTTATTTGAATTTAATTCAAAATTATTTATATAAATTGATTGCTATAATTCAAAATGAAAGCAGAATACATTACAGAAGATTACGAATTTCTTACGTAAGCGAAGGAGAGATTTTGTGTTGTCCTCATTTTTGCTCACATGAGGACGAGGATCAAATATTGCCAAAATTATAAGTAATATTTAAACTGCATGGCAAGTTCATTTATTCCTGATAAAAAAAGGGGGACAGGAAGAGAATATATATACATGCAATTAAAATTACTAAATAATTTAACATTAAAAAATGCCAAACGTTCGGAAAGAGACTGTATTAATTTTTTTTTTTTTTACTGTATAATTAATATTTTACTCTAAAAATGTGAAATACTTTATTAAACATGATATTTTTATTTTAAAAACGAGTTATATTATTTAATAAAACGCATTATGTTATAATATAAAATGACAATTACATTAAAAACCGTGATATTTTATATTTTAAAACATGATTTGTTATTTTGTAAAATGTAATGTGATATGCTACATTATAAATCGTGATATTTTTCTTTTAAAGAAACTTTGAAACTAATGCATATAATTGTCTTCATTCATTAACGTGTGTCTATGTTCCAAGATAGTTCGTTTACATTATATCAAATAGATCGTTCGTTTAAATCGTTTTGGTATCGTGCGAATTATCGCCGAATACCAAGAATTAAAAGGGTGCATTCTAGAACTCGCATGGTATTCTCATGCAATAAATATCTGTATAAAGCATATATATTTTCCAAAATTAAATTGGTAATACTAGAACAAAACTGTAAAGACAAGGAAAATATGACTTATCATTAATAAGCACTGCTAAAGAATTAACAAATAGCATACTAAAAACTCCATATTTTATTAATGTTATTTAAATAAAACTATATTTAAAATTAAATTATCTAGATTTGAAAAAGAGTTGAAGCTGTGTCGCAAAAACTGAAATAATGAAAACAGAATAATATTCAAATCATCCGAACATATATAAATGAAATATAAGTCAGAATAACAAAAGAAATATCAATTACAAGTTTATAAATAGATAGAAATCGTAAGACTTATATTTTCTAAATGATATCGTTTCAATTTTCTTAAAAAAGTTTTATGAACGCTTACATCTGACCAATGAGATAACACGTGACGTCATCTGAGTGTGCGTTAATTAGGCACCCTAGTTGGAGATAGTGAAGCACGCGTACGAGTTTAGTAGTTTATCTCCTTCTCCCCGCACTTTAGCTTTTCGCCTGGCCGATCGTTTTAGGAAATGAAATCCCGCATTAGGCTTTAATTAATGGCGACTGATAACAGGGTAATATGTGGAGATAATTTGAGCGACGCGACGGCTGATTAGCACTTTTCTTATCAGTGATGTAAAATATTGATTTTTATAACAGAAAATATTTGGTTATTAATTAAGATTCATTTAAATAAATTACTCTTCTCAAATTTTAAAAGATACAGTAGAGTAACAAAAATTACTATTCAACTTGCCTGGAGAAAAACATTTATACTCCTTAAAATTTCACAGGGAAATTTCTTAATTTAAAAAGATCTTTTGCGAGGTTTTCGGAAATTGTACTACAATTTCAATGCAAAATTATGACCAGCGTTAATTTACGGAAATAGTTGGGTGTTACCTTCCTTTTAGAATAAAAGAAAATTCAATAATTACTATTTAAGTCGAATGATAGACATCATTAAACTAGTGGACTGTGTATTCACCCACAGTGAATTGCTTGTAAGACACGTTTCCTAGTACATAACTAGCAACGGTCAGTGAGCGGAAGGGTGACCACTTAGATCAGCCTGCAGAAGGAACAAAGGGTGAGTAGAATAAGTTCTCGCTAAACTGTTCTACGGTAAATAGAACAGTTTAGCGACTTGTTTAGCGCATTCAATAATTATAGTTATCAATAATTATCTCAATATTATCGACGAAACTATACCTAAATTAATCCGAAGAAACTGAAGCGGTTAATATATTACTTGATTAAAAACTTCATTCGCTTTAAAAATATTCAAATGGGAAATAACAGTCGACAATTTCGAGCACTCAAAAACAAGCGCTCATTTTCAAGACGTTTGTATTACGATATTATAGCGAGCGTTGATATATTTTATTTGGGTAGCGAAAAACGAATGGAGTTTTTAATCAAGTAAAGCTATACATTTGTTATTGATACCCGTTGACCTGTCTAAGACAGAATCTGGCGTTGTTCTTACGTATTGGCGAGCTTGGCTTTATGCTCCCGATAACCGATAAGTACCGGAAAATTCCTTTACGTAAGCTTCAAATGAATGCGAATCAATTTAAAAAAAAACGTAGTTACATTCGAATAAAGATTTAATTACTGTGTCATTCACTCGGATCAATTTATTCGTTAAATTGATAGATACCATCAATTTAATGCATTCAGTTTTAGTCAGGCACTTTTAAGGGGACTTTTTTTTTAATTCCCCTGGTGCATTTTTTTCGTGATTTTTGAATACGATCTTATTATTTTATTTTTTACCTCTAACAACGTTTTAAGAGATAGTTTTGAAAACAGGAAAAATAAAAGCAAGAGCGATTGATTTCTAGAGAGAATCTTTGTCTTAACCGATTATGTATCTTCCAAATATACATATTAAAATCTACATTTACAGATACATTCTGTACATAAATATACATTTACAGATACATACATCACACATACTATAATATTCCTGCTTCATCAAATAATATGTGTGCTCACATTCCAAGTGCAATAAAAAAAAGTTATCTGGGCGATGTAAAATGGATTCAATTCGTAACTATCAATTTAACGAATTCAGTTTCAGTCAGGCACTTTTAAAGGAACTTTTTTGAAGTTATACTTCTTATGCGACTTCCAACAAGGTTGCGTTCAACGTTTAACGCTACATTTTTATTGGCCGGGAAATTACGTGGTAGGATCCAGTTTTCCCTCATTCATTTCCATATTGTTTTGGTTCTCACCAGCATAAAAATAATAAAAGTCATAAAATTATTGTTTTTCTATAAATATTTTCTTAGTTTGATTTGATACACATGTAATTTAATAGAGTAGTACTTTTTATTTTCAAATTTAGTGGATAACAATCGTAAAAAATGAGTGAAAACAATCCCACGGACAATGTGACGGATTTAAGGTTATGCCAAGGTACGTCTCTTGTGAATAACAATTGATTGTTAGGTTTTCTCTTCTGAAATTACATTATGACACATTCACATACATTATTAATACAAATACATTTTCCATGGCGAGACGATGAGGCAACGACAAGCACTTCCACTGGTTCAAGAGGTCCACGAGGGAAAAATGCACAATATTACCGTTATTACAGAGCACGGAAGCGGGCGGAGCAGGAAAAAGAGTCGTTGAATAGAACTAGTGACCCTTCTACGACTGCCGATTCTTCTACAATTAACGTCGCAGGTTGCGAAGTTTAACTTCTTCCGCGCGGAGGGACTCCACGCACTATTTTTTTAAAATTATTATTACCCCAAGTGCATTTTTTCGTAATTTTTGAACGAGATTTTTTTTCATTTATTTAATTCAACCTCTAACAATGTTTCAAGAGATAGTTTTGAAAGCAAGAAAAGTAAAAGCGGTTGCTATTGATTTCTGGAGAGAATCTTTATCTTAACCGATTTATATATCCTCCAAATATACGTATTACAATCTATAATTACAGATACTATCTCTATGTGTGCTCACATTCCAAGCGCAATAATGAAAAATAAAAATAAAAAGAACTATCTGGGCGATGTAAAATGGATTCAAAGAATTGCATCTGACCGTAACTATCTTACTTGCAGTTGGGTCACACGTAGAATACAACCGCAGATAACAGACGAATGGTAAATAGC